GTGATGTGATGTGTGTGTGTGGTGGGGGTGATGTGATGTATGTGTGTGGTGGGTGATGTGATGTAAGCGTGTGGTGAGGGTGATGTGATGTGTGTGTGGTGTGGTGTGGGTGATGTGATGTATGTGTGTGGTGTGTGTGTGATGTGATGGATGTGCGTAATTACTGAACGAAACGCAGGAAAAAGATGTTAAAATTGTTTTATTTTATAGAACGAAAAAAACCTCAGCGTTTTTGATGCCATTTTCTTACAATTATTTGCTCCGTTCACTAATGAAGCATAAGTCCCAACCAATCAGAGCGCACGTCATATCTAATCATAAAACTGCACACTCTGTTTCTTTAGTGCCTGTAGAGTAGAAAAAACCCCGGTGTGTATGAGATACAGCTCACTTACACGCATATCGCTATGTGTGACTGCCATGGGTTCCCTGTGTTAACATACCATTAAATGGGCTTCCTGTGTCGTTACGTAAAAAGGAAACACCTGCATACTATTTATATTTTTWAATTTTATGAAAAAATCGAGAATAATCAGTCGTACTTGAAATGAAGAACATCCAATATTACATACATATGTAAGAACTGGAGTTGGTTTTAAAACGTATTAGATAGACAAAAGTTGCTTTTMTTGTAGTAGATCAAAAGAGATCAGATATCGTAAGAAAATGAAGTCAAATGTCAATGTGAAATTGTGAGCCGAAACGTGAAATTAGGATTTTTAGATTGAAGAGGTTCAATCTAACGTGGCGTTACTAAATAAAAAGATGTTAAAGCTGGTAAGATGTTTGGAGGTATTTTGGAATCTTTTCAGAATTTGCTCTGTTTGTTATTCTAGTGGTCGCGTATCAGCTAAAAGTGAATTAATATTTCAGAAGTAAAAACTAAATGAATTCCACGATGGCTACACGCAAAACATAATGGAAATTTTCATTCAATTCAAATGAATTTTTTTTTTTTTTTGAAAAAATAATTTCGAGGGATTTTTTAAACTTTCGATGCAATGTAGATGTTATTCTCCACATAATAATTCAATTTATCTGTTTCTGTTTWACAGGTTTTAGCATTTTTCACCTCAATTCCTGCTGAGAAAAGAATGGTTTTAGACTTCTCGAGATTCAAAAGCCATCTGCTTAAGAAACAAAACATATACAAACTATAACACTGATTTTGATTGGACAACACKATGTTACCCGCTTGTGGTAAATAAAACACGCATTCTGATTGGCTGAGCCAGCCATTAGCATATTAAGCAGATGTTTCTATTTTTTCTTCCCTCGAGTTTGATTGTTGAATTTTCAACAAGCCAAAAATAAAAATTTTCTATTTTCTATATTTTTGAATAGATTCATGATTCTGCTATTAAAAGAGATTCAAATTCGAGACATTAAAAACTTTTACCATTCGTTCCGGAAGCCCCCAAAGAGCGGAAGTACAAAAGGCAACTATATATTCCATTTTGATACAAATGTTTTCCTATGAGCGTTAGAATATTTTAAAACGTTTTCCTTATGCTATAATAAACCGGGTTTACTTTCTGCTTTAGCATTAAGTATAGATTTTGTATCTTTTAAAAAACCATTTTTGTGGCCTTCTTAAGCTCGCGCGCAAAGCAAAGCTGATTTCAATCAACTTTTTATTAATGACGCACAAATAAAACAGCCTTTCTGCTCTTTCTATTTAATACTAAATCATATTTGCTTAATTTATTTAAGCTCGTGTTCTTTGTTTGATTATTTTTACTAATGAATACGAAACCAAATACTTTATGATTCTTTCTTACTTTCCTGCAGAATATAAAAATAGATTCTGGTATTTTTTGCTCAATATTAATATTTCGACATCAATTTGAAGCGATTTCACTGAGCTCGTCCACTTCTTCCACGACAGACAGTTCCATCAGACTTGCACCAGTAATTGGAGGTTTTTTGTGCAACTCTTTCATATCAAAACGKCTTTTTCTGTGATGTTCGCTTGGTCGTAAAGTTTCAATTTCCACAGAGGTTTTATTTGGTTTTAAAGCAGTGGTTTGCAGCTCGTTCAACTCGCGACCCATTACTTTGTGATGGTGGGCTTGTTTTGCGGCTAGTGATGGACGTGAAGATCTCTGATTTCTCAAACAAAAATAGAAAGCCCCAACGAATATTATCAAGCCGATAGTAGCCACAAGTCCAATGATGGCAGGGTTCATGTCTTTTGACTTTGCGATCGAGTCCAGATTTTGGCAAGCCCCATCTTTGCAAGTCTGATTCTTGTAACATTGTGAATCATAAACACATTCTCTTATTTTATTTTGGTTAATGGGTTCTAATGAACATGGTGGTCGGACACAACTGCATTTTCCCAGAGTACACAATTCGCCGTAGTCTTTATCACAGTCTAAATCCGAAGAACACAAACCATTACAAGCCTTTCTCGAAAGGCAAAGTCTTTCACAACAACGTTTTCCATCGATGCAGTCACTTGAAATACGACAGAACTTGACAGTATCTGCAAACGACGAAAATGCTACAAGAAGCCCAATATATAACAAGRTTTTAACCATCGTAGAAGAGGAATTTGTCGACATTCATCTTGTAAGTTCGTCAGTTCTGGATTATTCAGACAGCAGCTAGGTTCATTTGCCTTTTTAACTGCAGGTGCAGATATTTAGTATTGTCACTTGTGACAATGCATTTAACCGAATGATAAGCCAAATGTAAATAGCCGATCGATATCTCGCGTCGTCCTCAGTCGATAATTACCTCTATAACACCGGCTTTATCTTTCTGTTTAAGCCTTATTCCACTAAAAATATTATTTTGCTTAAAAGGATATCAAGAAACCACTTTGGAGCGGTTTATCGTTAGGTCTTTCTTTCAAACAGCATTGTCACGCGATATTTACGGTTCGTTAGTTACGCGTGACATATTTGCGAGCACGTGCATCAGTTCTACGAACAGTTAAAAATCAATAAAAAATCAATTTAAGCTCAAGTCGTTTAAATTCGGTCGTCAAGAAAATTTTAATTTCAGTTTCTTCTGGATATTTGATCATTTGCTTTTAAAGAAAACACAATACTTAATATAAAGCTAAGATTCCATGACTACGATWATAATTATCGTTCAAAATCAACTGGCAAAATTCCAATTCATTGTTAGGCATATATCTTGAAACTACAAGTCGTCAATCACATTAATACAAAATAATATTCAATTATTTTCACTGATGAGACTTCGTAACAAGCATAACCAAGGACGACCCATCTGACAATAAAAAATTTCATATTTTAAAATGAAAATACCACATTTTTTGTGAATACTATTTTCCAAATCACATCGGGTTCTGATTGGCTTTGTTCATARTTTTTGCCATGCAAGGCCGTTTGGTTTAACAGTATAGTGATTAGAACATAGAAAGGCACGGTGCTGACTCGCACTGACCTGATAGTATTAGAACAAAGCAAACCAATTCAATGTTACAATGCACGAGTTAGCGGAATGAGCGCCTCGTCTTAACACGTCCAACTTCAGCTCTTTCTTATTCCAAAGACTTATGAAGTAGAGTGTTGATAAATAAAATTTGTCAACACTAGCCGAGTAAAAAAATCTACAGTCATAATAGACTTCACTGAGTTCAAATCAGTAACTCTATTTCTTTGAAGTCAGCTATTTTGAMACAATTGGTAAAATAAAAACACGATTATTTAAATATTTATTATCGACTTTGAGGACTTTTTCAGTAGTTTTGCAATGAGGGAATATTTCAGCTGTCATTGATCATCCCGAGGGATTCTGCGGGACAATTCCCGCAACTTGTCCTCTTACAACTTCCTCGTACGARGGAGGGAATTCGTAGGGAGGAGGATCAGTGTTTACAAAGATAACACTCTCGTAACGAGGCAGTGTTGAAGAACSTTCAAAATTCTCTGACATAGAACTCTGGGTTCTCAAATTCTCCGATCTCCTGGCGAGTGATCTCCGATGGCTGCGCGAAGACCGTCCGAATCGTCTCCGATACCTCGGCAACTGAAACTGCCAGGCATAATAGCACATTATAGCCATAAAAAGCATGATTGCCAGAATAGTTCCTAWAGTAAGTTCTGAAGAATGATTCTTTGCGAAGTTTTCTTGCAAACGTGGTGTTGTTCGTCGTGTAGTGAAAGACGTAGCGTTGACGACGACGTTCGCCGACCCTCGGTTTTGACGTCGGCTTTTCCAGTATAAAATATTCGGTTTTCTCATGTTCACATTTTTGTTGTCTACAAGTTCGTTTCAGTCCTCTTAGTTATTTTTGTAGCATTCTCTTCACTTTCACCAGTAGCTTGGCTCACAACAAAGTCAAAAACAAGTTGTTTTTGATGTTCATTCAGCAACAGAAAAAAACCAAAAGAACTTATAGTGATGTGACCAAGTTTGTCTGAGGGCAGGTTTTTTTTGTGCCTTACATTCAATACTACATACCAAGTACTCGGGAGCTGTTTCTTGATGCTGTGTTTATCGAGCACACCACAATTTCTTTAGTCTTTTAGACAATCATTCTAACACGTTTCTTTGCAAAGAAGGGGTGTACAGAGAAGAACGATTCCATATTACAGGATAATTAAGAACAYGACTAGTTTGAGTTATCGACAAGAACCTTGTAACCTCTTTCATTAACTCAAAATACTGTAAATGAAATAATCAATTATCAATATTGTAATCAAGTTTAAGACAGCGTTACGACTAATGCTTATTATGCACTGCGCTGTGTTCAGTCATGCGTAGTCCGTCATAACGTTACTGGGGTCAATCTCGTACCCAGAGTCCTGCGGCGAAGAACGAGGGCTTTGGCATGATCCATTTTTTGGCGCAATTTTTTCGGAAGTCAACTATAAACATTTCAGGAGTGGATTTCAAATTTTGGAATTTAATGACGTCACACTTCGGTACCAGTCCTTCCATTAACGGACGCAGACGAAAAGTTCCGCACGTACTGGGAACGGAATTCACAATCACGTGATTGATTACCGCAAACTCAATGCAACGAGGTTAAGTTATTCAAAATCAATGACAGGTGTCAATCATCTTAGATTCAAGGTGGAATGAAAGACAAATCAATTGAATGAAAAATCAAAACTTTTATCAAATTCTGAAACAACCTCTGGGCTGATCTAAGTCAGGGCATGGCTAACTCACAGATTGACCCCTGAAACAACCTCTGGGCTGATCTAAGTCAGGGCACAGCTAACTCACAGATAGAACCCTGAAACAACCTCTGGGCTAATCTAAGTCAGGGCATGGCTAACTCACAGATTGAACCCTGAAACAGCCTCTGGGCTGATCTAAGTCAGGGCATGGCTAACTCACAGATTGAACGCGAAAGAATCTTTGGGCTGATCTAAGTTAGGGCACGATTAGGCACATATTGAACCCTGAAACAACCTCTGGGCTGATCTAAGTATAATCATTGATACTAATAATAACAATAACAATAATAATAATAGTATAATTCTGTAGTGAAATACTTTCTCATTCACGAACGAGTATAATTAAATAAAGGACGTTGTTATTAATTTTGCATCAGTTACCTGTAACCTGTTTCGGGTCGCTATATATGAACAGCGCGAACGCATGCTTTGGTTATATTCTTGATAGCATCAGTTGAYGGCGATAGAATCGACACCACCTTGCAATCGATAGCCAAATCACAAACTCGAGTCCTTCAAGAATTTTCGGTCGAGTAGGAATGACAAATTGGTACTCATAGTCATTATAAAAAAAAGTAAAATTGTAATTCTCAAAGTTCATTTTAAGAGGCTATTTTTGAAAACCGGACCACAGACCRCGAGATGGTTGTTTCAAGCTGGTTCCCGCCAAAACCAAGTGCTCAAGATCTTAAAATAGCATGGACAAAGTTCAAGTTTATTTTAAAATGAGTTCTCGTCATTTCCTGAGTCCAAAAAAGGGCGCCAAAAAGCGTCGATTTGATCACGTGACGTACAACACATTCCACAGGAATCCCACGTAATTGTTGATGTGGTGTATTTCAGACCCCCCTCTTAGGAGCTAGCTAATAAATATTGTATGACAAATTCTTGAATCCTTTTTCCGTTAAAAATATGAATTYCCTTATCTCTTGTATCGTATGAGCAGCAAAAACATGATTCAGAATGATTTGGTTTCGATGACATCAGAAAAGAAGTCCTCAAAAACGATTTCCGCTTATCGAAAACCAACGAGAAAAAATCATGACTGCATTGACAAAGACAAGTAACAATAACTACCCCACTGTGCTCAACAAACTACATAAAAGAGAACTCTTTAATTTGTTAATTCTCTGGAAGTTTCTGACGGCTGAAAAAATATCCAAGTTCAGTTTTTGAGCCTTGGTACAGAGGACAACCTTTGATTTCGTGGTCAATGAAATTTCGTTCAAAAATGATTTTTTAAAAATGGAGCTTTAAATTAGCGCTAAAATCACCAGCTTTACCACACTATGTGATCTCGTTTGGAAAAACTAGATTGTTTAATATCACATTCGTTTACTCTTAATAAGTCTAAATTGTAAGAGTATTATATATTTTTTGTAAAAATTTGTTTTCGATAAGAAAGTTATCCTGCACGTCTTGATTTGCATCACTGGTCGTCATACATAGGCCATGTTGGCAAACAGCGGCTACCAGCCTGTTGTCATGGAAGTCAACCAATGTTGCCTTCTAACCCCTTGACTAGTTCTCATCTCGAAAAAAAATCCATCTTAATAATCTTTTCAAGAGGGTTGAAACTTCGAAAAACGGTTTGGTTTAGGATGAGAAAGTTTGGTTGTGAATGCGAAGGGAAAGTATTTGTTATTCCGAATATATTGTGATAAAATAGTAATGAGGTCGACGTCATTGAAAAAGCACCAGTTATTTTGAAATCAACCAACCATGGCTTTCTTTGCTCATATTTAATAGCATTACGGCTTGTTCGGTTCGTACAAGGGTTTCCGCTAATCTTATTAAGCAAAGTGGTAACTTGTGACGACAGATTTGGAAAAAAAACTTCATAATAAGAAGATTGTATAGGACCAGAGTCGAGATATAGCTCACTTCAAGGCTGAAAGCGAAGATCTTTTCTAATAACCAAATCGAATTAGGTAAACTATACAGATTTATTTTTGAGCTATTTTATTYTTATTCGTATTATCGCTGCCGCAATATTTCTTGGGATGATTCGGTGGTGGTAAGTGATGTTTTAGGCTGGATTTGTGTATTTTTTTCTCTGATTTCCATATCATAATACACGAGTAGTAACTATAATAGTTGACAGGGCTCGCCTGATGTAGAAAACTCTACGACTACATACTAACTACCGTGCTATTGGTTGTTAGGTATCTGCAAGCCTAATGGGCATCACAGCAATCACTGAGTTCCAGAGTGATACAAGTTGAATACCAGTACAATATTCCTGCTAGAAACGACGTCTTCCATACACCCGGCAAACGAGAGAATATTACAATAAAGCCGATTTGCCTGTCCCAATCCTATTTAAAAAACAGCTCAGCATTGGATAACAAGTCAACTGAGAACCATCACTCGGAGAGCGATTCGGGTTGAAGGCGCGAGCTACCTTCTTCGTTCGATGTTTTCTCTGGCGTTTACTGCAAGCTTATTATCAAACTGAGTGATAAAAATCGAACAGAGATCTTAATTCAGCCAACTGGGACAAATTTAGTTGTGCCATATTAAGCGTTGTGGTCTGAATCGCGGATAACTAGACCGTAGAAAAAGAATAACAAGCTATCTCACCGTTACTTTAAATATGTTCGCCAAGATACATCGCTTAAATATGTATGGTGTGAGAGCGAGTGGTAAATTATTGACTATCTACACTTGGGTCTACCTCGACACAACAGATGTTTAGCTAGCTTGATGCCGGTGAACTATTTCAGTTTATCAATACTACGTCGAGTATTCAACTTTAATAGTAATTATGGAATCTGTAGGATTTTTTTACATCCTCTTTTTTCTCACTATTCTCTCGATATTGGGGATTTCCAAATCTTCAAGTCAACATAACAACATTTCCTGTAATGCAACTGTGGATTGTAAAGTCAATGGGAACCTTTCTTACTTCTGCTGTAATAATATTTGTCGATTTGACTCAGATTGTCGACACAACTCGTCTTCAGAGGAGAGCAGTATGAATGACACTAAGCCAGTCTATTCTGGTCAATCGAATTCCAATGTTAATTTGAATCAGTCACGTCGGTACGATGATTTCTGCTCAAAAGACAACGACTGTAATTCAAGTCACAGAATATGTATTTCCTTTGAATGTTTGACTACGAGTGCAAAGGAAAATATAAAAGACTGCCAGCGTTGTGTACTAATCGACTGTAARGACGGCCGCTGTTATAATTTGACTAGTTCGGTTGTACCAACAAGTAARCCTGGCGAAGAAACTATAACTACTTTACAGCTCGTATTATTATTCGGTTCGATGGGAGGAATCTTAATTTTCATTATCATAGTGTATTGTGTTAAGACTTTCACCGATAATCGTCGAAGACAATATTTATTAAAACACGGAGTCTGGGATAACCCACCAAATAAAGAAGGCAAGGATAAAGACGACAAAGGAGATGGGGATACGAAACCTGACTYGATTCGACAGCTAAGGAAACTGGAAGTTCCCACCATTACTTTGGAAACGGAAACAGACTTTATAAGGAAAAAGAAAAACAAGGAGACTTCCAAAGATGAAATAACAGACACGGAAGGACTACATGACTTTGCTATACAAGACAGCAAACAACAAAAGGTAAAAACTATTGCAGATCAAGGCATATCAGATACAAATCAGCATGTAAATCCTTCCACAAATGCGACAAAGCATCCATATTGCGCTCAAAAAGAAATYGGCGAAACAATAGGCTCGCCTAAAAATATAAGAATGCCTACTGATTGGGACAATGAAGATGAAAAGACGCCTTTGACAGAATCCCCAAAGCAGAAAAGATTTGCCAATCTAATGAAAACTAGAAACAACTCGCCAACCAAAATAATAGCTAATGGTGCACCCGATAACTCTCCAAAATTTGGCAAACACAAACATAACTCCCCTTCTGTACAGCTCTGTGAACCGGAAAATTTCAGTGATTTTGGAATGTAAAGTGCTTTGAGGAGTATATTGTTTGCTCTGCATGGCAGTAACGGTTAGCAGCTTGTTTGACTTGGCTCGTATCTATCTAAGCAGTTGCTCAAATGGTTTCACTAGACAAGAACTCAATTATAATCGATTCCTATTTCTCGTTTTTTGGAAATATTTGGCGAAATTTCCGAGGTTTTATCGGCGCCTTTTTAGCGAGATATTTTGAAGCGATGGGATAGTTTACAAATTGAATTACATTTGAATTTTTACTCACTTAGGAACGGAGAAAAATGTTACCGGGTTGTGCAAGCAAAGGATGTCAAACTTACTGAATGAGTGAAGTACAACCGAGGGGTTCTACAGCAAAAAAATATCAATTTATCGTCAAACTTGTTAGTATGAGCAATTTGAGCCACATGGCCAGTGAATTGAAAATATTTTGAAAAATCTCTCAAAAGCTTTGTCGTCACATAATAAGCAATTGATGAGGAAATCCTGGAAAAAATCTTTCAGAGAAAATACTGAGAATAGAATAAAGAAGAGCGAGTAGGCAGCGAAGCCTTTCATCTTTTGTACGGAGAAGTCCCACATTGCCGAAGAAGTGGGTGTAGCGTCCAATGACCACTTTGAAATATTAGCTCAATTTGTTGGCCTATTTATTCAAACCGTTTCTATTAGGATAAAGAAACCTCAAAATTTYAATCCTCAACTGCTCAGGAATTCTTTCATATATAGTTTCATTAAGGAAAATGTCATCGCGAAGCTCAATTTGTACGAGATTGAAACCATCATTCTTGATCGAAAAAAGAAAAAAAATGAAATTCTGATATAAGAATATATCTAGAAAATCTGAATGAGCCAAGAAGACTTGCAAATGTGAAGCCACAAGTCTATTCTTAACAGGACCACATTCACCCATGTTGGCTAAGTACACTCTGCGATTAATAAAAAATGGAAGGAGAAAAATGCGAAAATCAAAACAAAGCGTTTGGCATTCCTCGTGTCAAAAGCAAAGGTTTATCTCAACTATGAAAATGGTAGACCAAAGCTTCTTTTGTWATTGAAGCTCTCTGACTGAGTTCAAAGGAATTCGATTTATTTGCCGTGATATTGGAAAAAGTCACGTCTAAGGAACAGTTGGCGAGAGCGAGGATTTGATTGGACGTCGAGGAAAGGAAGGGCCAGGAGCAGCTGACTTGAGCAAAATCAAATCTATGATCGATTCTACGAGTCACATCATGAATTAACCATTCGCAAAGCAGTGGTTTTTCAACATAATTTTTTCAGTAGAAACAGCATTGGAATGAATCAGTTTTCTAATGAATAACAAAATCTTACTACGGCAAACGAAAGYACACAGAAATATCTCTAAATGCCGCTTAGTAAGTCTTCCAATATTCACGAGTATTGACTTCTCTTCGTATTATTTAAGACTCCAATTTTTCACACTTCCTCGATGATACTTCTGTGTCCACGAATGTTTTTCTCCAGTGGACCAATATTTCATGGCCATTTCAAAGAACTACGGTCTTTTGTAGTTCTCRACGGTTTTTTAAAATTAATAGTAAGTTTTTATGCATGTAGTASAGAGTAGAATACATGGGGACATGGGCAGTCTTTTGCCTTAAGCTTTGGGAACTATTTATTGACCGTGTAATTGCAAATATCGAGGGCTTCGCATTCCATATCTATTATAATATAGATTTGGATAGAGAGCAAAGAAGAGACCAAAACAGAACTGAACACGCTAAGTGTGTATCTAGCTTTGTTTCGATTTTAGCGAAGACAAAGGAAGAAGAGTAGTAAAAGTCATGGTCGTGAAGAGTAATGAATCAATGAACATCTGTTTTTGAATGAGGCTTTTGTCGTTGATAGATTCCACGTGACCTATACATTGGAACTTTTTAAAATGGCTTCACACATCACGTGATTGCTGTTTATAGTACCCTTACACTTCCCCCACTCATTCCCATCATCCTTTGTAATATTAGCTCCATCGAGTCTAATGTACTGAGAACTTGAGTGGGGAWAGGGAAGGGAAGCTTTGACAGGTTGTCACGTGATAGCTTATCACGTGACGTCTAGGTAGTCACGTGATGTCGAATAAATATTTATCCAAGATTTGTCTTGAGTGAAAAACCTTTAAAAATCGACCACTTATRCAAAACGAAATCATTTAAATAGGAGATGGGTTTTTGAATTCCTTTTTTTAATACTATAAAAACCAGCACCTTTAATAAGTTGTGTCTGGAATGAAATGGGGTCGGTTTAAATAGGTTTTCACTTAGGCTTACCGTTTACACGGTACCGGGCGAATTTTTAACTGGTCAAAAMGTTGTACGTTTAGGATTTCAGTGAACATGGAACTGAGCTATCCGAACAAAAATCAGTGGCGGATCCAGGATTTTTCAAAGGGGGGTTCCGTTTCTTAAACTGTGTATAATTCTCTTTTGTTTAGTCGATGTTTGACAAAACAATTGGCTCTAATCACCTAATTTACTATCTAGTAACGGAACTTAAAGGTAAATTAAAAATTATAACAGCAAATATCTGTCATTTCGTGTTCAACATTATCTTTGTGGATACTCTTAAGCAAAATCTATATAAGACATATTTCTATWACCTAAAAGATCAAACCTTCAAGGGGGGCTCCGTGGACCCCTTCGACCTCCCCTGGATCCGTCACTGAAAATTCGTACGCTTAGCCGTTTGGTTGGATCCGATTCCGTGTTAAAGGTATGTAGAGATCAAATTTTATAAACGGATATTAAGATTAGTCCGGTACCCTGTAAACGCAGTCTTAGACGGTCGGTGAAAAGAGGTTTTTCCTATCTTAATATATTATGACACTACCGGCACGTATATGTTCCTAAAGGCATTCCATTTCTATTTAAAGATGCCATATGTCTCTGATATATCTAATATAATAATATTATCTAATATTTATTGATCAATACTTGGATCAAGCCTTCATACTGTACCGTTTTTTGTTACCAAAATCGAGTTTGTACAATTTCTTATAATTATTTTATATATTTGTTTGTTTAATAGATCTACACGTTAGGTGTTTCTACATAACAAAGCCTAAGTTTACGGGGCGACGTAAATATAATAATTTTTGAATACCAAATAACGAGTAAGGCGAGAATATGTTCAAAACAACCACAAGCATTAAATTATGTTTCACTTGCCACGGGCATGCGCAGTTGATGACGAAGTGAAATTAAAACCAATCTCGTACCAAGAGCCTACGTTTCTTCTGGCCTGCGGTGAAGAGCAAAGGCTCTGGCATAATCCATTTTTTTGAGACCAGGACTTCTTGGACTTCCGGTACAAGGGCGCAAGCGCTCAAAAACTTGCCAAATATATATATATATATGTATGTTCCAGATTTCTAATATTTATTTTGATCGGAAGTAAACACAGAACTCTGTTTTAAAGCATGATATTTCATTTTCGAAAAATTGCGCATGCGTCAAAAAATGGTTAATGCCAGAGCTCTCGTTCTTCGCCGCAGGCCAGAAGAAACGTAGGCTCTGAGTACGAGACTGAATTAAAGCTAGAAAGGAGTGGGATATGGAATAGAGGCTTTGAACCATCACGTGATATCAGCCATGACATATGGCACGTCTTTTTCTCCCTCGGAAACTGAATTCTTGCTCATGTAAAACAGATTAGACGGGGATTCAATTGTTCCTACCTCCTGTCATGGCTGCCATCACTTGATGGTGTAAAACCTATATTGGTGCCAAAAGCGAGTTTGAATCGGAATCAGGAGATTTCCATTTGCTTGGCTTGCGCCGCTTAGAATGAGCGGTTTTCACTTTTAATTTCACGAATGAAGTGTTTTTCAACTTCGAACCCGTCGCAAGTGAAAACCAGAGATAAAAGACCACTTGCATGTGACGTCAAAGCAGCTCAATTTGGAGGACAAAACAAAAGAATTTTAATCTCGTGAGGATTGTGCTGCATTCCGACGTGCTGAGAGGGTTCATTAGGTGTAAGGTAATTAGTAATCATCTCCATGAAACTCGTGCTTGTATCGAACATCTTTTCGCCTTTTTTTAGGGACTGGTCTTAAATTAGCAGGTTGGAAAACCCTTTGAGTGCTGATCACGTGCTTACATTCTTCGTCCTCATTGGCTGTCCCCATCACCGCATACTCAAAAAAACCTTGTTTTAGTCCCTCCTCACACCTGGTAATCCAAAACCAGTCTCTAAGCAACCTTTCTAAAAAAAAACGTCAGTTGCCATGGAAACCAGCAACAATTCCATTGACTTCAGTATGACGTATTTTGAGCCCGCGGTACATGGTTACTAAAAGCGCATTTGTTGGTTGACTTAAAAATAAAACTACAATGTCTATTGTAGAATGTCTGGTTTATTTTAGTATGTGATATACTATTTATTTTTTATTTGAACAGAAAAATCAATATTTAAAAGAAAACTTTAATAGGTCTCTTTATCTTGGGTGCAATGTTTTGCCATTTTAGACCACGTGTCATTCCCTAGAGTATCATTTCTTTGTTTAACGGTTGCACATGAGAAGACACATGAATATGGATACAACTCCAACAAAGAATCTTATTCTCTAGACCATGTGTCATTCCCCAGATTAGACACAGATAACAGATACACACTCACTCTCTGGTTGATATGACGGGCAGTGTTTGCCTGTCATTGTAGGCTGGTAGTGACATTCATGAGATTCATTCAGGTGATTGATACCAAGCAATAGAATACTCTCTGGTTGATAGCACATGACGGGCAGTGTTAAACTCAGCATATCTTATAATAATTGTTTATTGTGAAGTTTTTACTTTTAACTTACATTACAAAATATTTGATTCTGCTCACTTATATACTGCTAAAGCTATTAAACTGCATTCTACATATTTTAACTATGTACAAATTACTGCAAAGTTTTGTAGGTCTACTGAACTTACTAGTTTGTGCAAAGTTTTTCACTGATATATGGGATGCACTTTGTTACACGAATAAATGAATAAATACATAACAAAAGAAGCACAAACATTTCCCGGCTTATATACAACATGCTTTTAATCTAAAAAATATACAGATGAGGATCATGGGAAGATTAGGGGAAATTGAAAGAGCAGATATCAGATTTACAATCTATTGCCTTCAAGCAATTGCTGCATTTGGTCATCCATTGCTTTGACCCAAATGCCACAACTTGAAGCGATTCACAATAACGACTCCCCTTAGTTACCGTTACTATATCGCACAAGCTCAACATGCTATCTAGAATATCTCAGAATTTAAAACTCTGGTCGCGGAACATTGATCATAAATTGTTTCAATCGTTTACTGTCCTGAGGGAAGAATAGAAAATTACCTCGTAATCCTTGTAAAACTCTTTTAAAACAGATACTTTGAAGTTGTTTGTAGGACAAGATTTTAATTCCACTGGAAAAACATTGGTTTGCTGTTGTCTGAGTCACAACCATAAATTGTTTGAAGGCAACAGAGTGTACCTCTAATATCAGCTATTGGGAATGGTATTCATAGGAGAGCGCACGATAAAAATTCATCTTAGTTGACACTTATTTCCATGGACTCTTCTCAAAATTCGAAGGTGAAATAACTATGGAAACTCAAAATTCTATAGATAAAGAGTGATTTTTTCCCCATTTTTTCATGCTAGCTTCGCATCCATGATAATTTTAAGAAGGTACCATTGACAATCTATTGGACAATCCAGTAAATCAAAGTGGCAAGACCTATTGCTAAAATCGTTGACTAGGGACATATTCCAAAGATGGCGAAAAAGTCCCACAATGCACTGCGATGTCAACTCGATTCAGCGTTTTGTCTCGGCCTCGAAATGACTTGATGCTGCTCATAATCTTCAAATACTTTCTTTAAGTATCGTAGTTCGTATACACATATTTCAATGAAGTTAGTCACCTGAAAAGCTGCAAAGCTGAGACCGGCAAGGATTATGGGTAGATACATTTTACATGTTTCAACCGCATGATAACTGTTGATGGACTCGAGATCTTCTACCAGTTACACAAGTTCACATCCTCTGAGCATCCTCAACTGCTGCAGTTTGTGTCAAAAGCTTTACTTGTTGGATATAAAATATTTCCCATGATTCTCAGCGATCACAGCTTTCTAGGTTTTTGGTGACTAACTTTATTGAAATAAGTATATAAATTTAAAAGCATATATTTGAAATACTGAACGAGAAAGAGAATTTAAGACGCTTACAAATATTAAGCTACGAGGATATTTATGTATAGCAATGGGATTAGAAAATAACGATTATACACTCAATTGAAGAATCGTTGTCGGGTTCAGAAACATAGAACATGGAAGCTGAGACCGAAATGGCACATGGAGAGTACGTTAATTAGATGCATGCTGTAACCGGCGACACGTGGCATCATCCACTGTTTTTAATACGCGTTTGGCTTTTTAAACCGACTGCATGGATGGCACAAATGAATAAATTATGACATAATATGTCATTTCCATCTGCCATTTTGGTCTCAGCTTTTAAGTTCTGTTTCTGAACCCGACAACGATTCTTCAATTGAGTGTATACCTCTAGATGGTGAAATAAAAATGCAAGTAATGCTATGCCCTTTAAATAATGTCTGTCAATAATGCACAGGCAATATGCAATACTCACCAAGCACAGTACACGTGATGCCACATGCAATCGCCGAGCACTGCATACGTGACATCACACGTGATGCCACATGCAATATGCAACACTTACCAAGCACTGTACACGTGATGCCACATGCAATATGCAACACTTACCAAGCACTGCAC